ATTCTTTAGGTTATCCTCAAAATGTAACTATAGCATGATATGTGTGCATTGCAGATAAGTATGTTGTTGAGACTATATTTTAGAAGCTTTATATAGAGACCTTTGGGTAATTTCACTTTTTTTTTTAAAGATGTGTTTTTGCTTGTTATTTACACACTGTTTCTTTGGAGGAAAGAGAAGAAAGTTATTACTTTGTTTCAAGAGGCACTATTTTAAGTCCTTTGCTTGTGTTACTTTATTCTCGATCTGTTTTCAGATGTCTCTAATGGAAGGGCTTCTGTCCTTTAATTATGAGTTTTTATCACAGTTTATAGTACTTGAAGGTTATTTCCCCTTTGTTCTTCATCAAAAGGTTTTCGGTATGCTAAATAGTAATATTAAATATTTTCGTCCATTTGCCCACTTGAGGAATCATTTTCGTAGACCTTCATGACCTTCACAACCTTGACATTGCAGTTTAAGAGACATTTGTTGAGTGCCTGCTAGGTGTTCCTAACATGGAGTTGTGTTTGTAACAACTTGATAAGGGTAGCTAAAATTTATAAGATGGTGAAATTGAAGCTCAGAAAGGTTAAATAACTTGCCTACAGTCATATAATTGCAAATTATGAAGCCTTGATTTGGCCCCAAGTAAAAGTCATGCTTTGTCTTCTACATCACAGTGTCTTTTCATTCTCTGATAAAAACTACAATCAGGAGGGAGCGGAGCTTCCAGAGATGGCTGAATAAAGAGGCTATAAACCTTCTCTCCCAAAACAAATATAAAATTGGTCAAAAATGTCCCCCTCAAAAAACTCCCAAAATTCAGGTCTCTGGAAATTGACCAAAGATAAACAACAAATTGAGAAACATTTATGGATAAAACACTGCTGAGCTTTGGATAGGAAGAGTGGGAGTCTGTGGCATTCTTACCTAAGGCTGCTTTCATCCCTTGCCCTCTTTACTCCCAGTCAGTGGATGGTGCTGCCAGGCAGGGTGGCAATACAGCCCTTAGCTTCACTGCTGGAGAGTCTGACCTGATTTGTAGGAGAGGGCAAACAACACATGCCTCGGGATGTTATCAGGAAAAACAGAAACTTCCATAGGAAATGGTCCGGAAAAGCCCACAGCCCTCTTAGTCTGAGATTGCGGTACTGCTGGTGGACAGGCAGAGATGTAATAGGGAGACCCTAGAAATGGAGACAGCCATAACCGTTAAGGTAACATCATAGATCCTTCACTAAATTATTTCCATTTTTGAAATTTGAGCCACTCTTTTTATATTTCAAGAATTTAAAATTATTATTTGGCTTGAATGTGTCCTGACAGACTATGTCTTTGTTGCTAATAAAATAAATTTTGTTTATGAAATGTACTTTTGCACATGAAGAGAATAGAGTATTCAAATATGTTGTCTTGATTTTAGTGAACAGGTGCTTTACTGAAAAGCTGACTGTAAAGAGTTGATTAAGTGTCCCACTGACATTCATTATGAAATTGGAGATCTCAAAAGGTGGTGAAAAACGTAATCAAGAATTAGAGTACTACTTTTAAATTACATGTTTAAATCACTTTCTAATAAAACGTACCACACTGCTATTCAAAATAAGCCATGAATTATAGCAATTATATTACTACTTAAAATAGTATCTTTATAGGGCCGGCCCGTGGCTCACTCGGTAGAGTGCGGTGCTGATAACACCAAGGCCATGGGTTCGGATCCCTATATAGGGATGGCCGGTTCGCTCACTGGCTGAGCGTGGTGCTGACAACACCAAGTCAAGGGTTAAGATCCCCTTACCGGTCATCTTTTAAAAAATAAAATAAAATAAAAATAGTATCTTTATAACCGTTCTTAGCATTATATCTCCTTGTACACTTAACTTTTTAAAATTAAATTTTGGGCATATGTTTCCCACAGTAAGTGTTCTGGTTTGAGATGCCAGGCTTACAGTGATTCCTTCCTGAGGATTTCATCTAGTATGCAAACTCTTATTTATTGAGGAACGTTAGTGGCTCTATACTTAGGCTTATACAACATCCTTTATAGTTTTTCATGCAAGAATCAGTTTTTCTTTCTGTACCAATGCCACCTTCTGTTTGTGTTGTGTACATTTGCAAAGTTTGTTCCCATCTATGATCTCCTGTGATCCTTGCCAAATTTCTGCATGATAAATATAGTTCAGCTATCATCTCGATTTTACATAAGAGTAGACACCTAGGAAAGATAGAATGATTTGCCAAGGTTATACAGTTGGAATTCTCAGACTTGGAACTACAGTATTTTAGGCCTTTTACTCACTGTATCATCTTTTGGTCTGTTTGCCTGCTACTCTGCCCTTCTCATTATCCTAGTTCTTCAAAACACTTAAATAGGTTCAATAAAGATATTATAAGAGTTTGTAACACCATACTTCTATAAAGTACTAATTTTGAAGCTTTGAGCCAGAAGGAAATGGATGGTTGGAAATACAGATAAATGTGTAACATACTGTAACATTTTATGTCTCAGGTTATTAAATATTAGCAGCATTTTGCTTTGAGTTAGAATGTGGGTCATGATGAGTGATTTGTAGAGAACGCTAGATTTTTAAACCAGAAGTGGCTCCACCCTCAGAACTTTTGTGAGAGCATTTCCAATAGATCTGGAGAGCAGAAAGCAAGCTTTTGGAGGAGGGTTCTCAATGCTGCTGTCCTTAGTCACCATTTTGCTTCATACCCAGGAGAAATAGGATATGTTCTGAATGTGATTGCACTTGCAGCAGTGAACACCCATGGGCAGCACAAGCAAGCAGAGAGTAGCTGCAGCCACCACTTGACCTGGAACAAGCAACAGAGAAATAATAATAGTGATAGTGCCTATTATGCTCCAGACCCAGTTATGAATAATTTAAACTCATTTATTACTCATGCCAGTGCTATGCAGTTATTTATGTATATATTGTTATTATTATCCCTGTTTTACAGATGAGGAAACTGACACAAAGAGAGGTTAGAAAACTCGCCTTGTACTCTGACTGTGAATGTAGTCCAGCATGGCCAAGTCAGGCCATAGCTTGGAAAAGACAAAAATGAGGGATCTTCTTTGGAAAAGACAGAAAAGGGGTATCATACCAAGCCATGAGAACTGAGGGAGGGGCTGGGCAGGAAGTAAGGGGGTAGGCTTTTGAGGCTAAAAAGGGACTCCAAACTGGTTACTTAAACTAAGAGGTGGCCATGAAGCAGAAATGGAAACTGGAACCAAAAGGCAGGGGATAGAAGAGCAAACTGGAGGGCAGACCAGACTGGTAGTGAAGACTGGTGAACTGTTTCATGTTTCCACCATATGGCTAGGCCTTTCTGAAGTGTGGTTCTTTACGAAAAAGCAAGTTAGTCTGTTTCTCACCTTGGGCAGAGTTGAGATCATTGATGTAAAAGACTTGGGATACAGAGGACACCTCCTGTTCTTCCAG